CTCATCAACCAATTCCATTATGCGAGTGATTAAGAGTTTCGAATCTGATGGTAATGAGAAAGGTTCAGGAAAAATGCAGCCAATATCATACTGCCTCCCCTAAACCGCGTATGGCATACTTCCGTCAAATGTGGCGTAGTACATGTTTGGTTCCTCCTTGGTAAAGCTTCGACCTAGACTACCGTTGTATGGTAAATCAGTTATCGATTCCTAGAAATAATGACCGATTACATGATCCTGGAAACATCCTTTGCAACATCCTATATTCTTAACAAGATTATAAAGGGAGATCAGATTCAATGATATGATATCGACGATATGATGACTCCAAAACAAATGATGAAACTGGATTAGGAATATTCTGTGCGAGACCAAAGTATGAGCAATCAAACTCATTATTAAAGTACACCTCGGCATTACATGCTGAAATACATGCTATCAATGTTTTTGCAACAGAAAATTTCAAAAGCGGTTACACTGACCAAAAAATCCTCATAAGATCACACAATCCAGGAACTCCAAAAGCTTTAGCAAATTAAAGGTTTAATCCAAAATCTCCAAAACATGGAAAAAAATAACAACTTGGCAATATCTTGGGTTCCAGGGCACAAAGGAGTACTGGGTAATGAACGAGAGAACAAATTGGCCAAAGGAGAGTCTGAGAGTTCATTGTGCGAGAATTAAGCCCGTTGTTATTCTCGATAAGTGCATAAGTGAGTAGATTCTCTCACTGTTGGTGAACTTTCAGACGTCCGAACTACTGCTGAAAATACTACTACTTTTTGAAATAAGTGGTATTTTAATTTTTCCCACATCTGAACGTTTCGGCAGTTTAGGAAATGCCTCCCAGATCAAAAATGTCAGCCTATACATAACGTACAACTCAGGATGAGTACTAAAGGTTCTTGTAATATCGTACGTTCTATCTACCTTGATTTTATAGATCCTTCAGGTCTAAGTAAAAGTGACATATCAGTTTTCATTATCACTGGCAGTTCCAAACCCATCTTCATTGACTTAAGTACTTATTACTTTAGCGAAACCTAAGAAAGCCAATCTCTCTCTTTCGAAGAATCGCCAAAAATCTTCCAAAGCCTACCAACTGGTTGAAAGACCTATTTAAACTGTCCTGAGCGTCATAAATAATATACAATTGGAAATTCAATATATGCAATAGTATACAATTAGGCAAATATTCTAGACAAAAAAAGCCTGTGAATGCAACGACTCACAGTGATATACAAAAAGAGCCACAGTGGAGGAGGCAGATGATAAGTACAATAGAACATTATTTGTTGTCTGTTGATTTTGTTTATATGATTTTATGATAACCAGCGGAAAATTTAAACAACCGCCAAAGGAAAAAAGTTTTTAGAAAGTTTGAAAGGAATGGAAATTTTTTGTTATTTTTAGTCTGTCGCCAGATTGATCGGCCCTGATAATCGCTGTCACTGTTTTCGCTGTTTGTTCCAGTCAGGTTCGTGTAGTAATTTCCCTGTTTCATTTTAGTCTGTCGATCAGGAAAAGGTTGGCAACTGGTAAAACTTTTCAAACTGACCAGTATTTGTTTTTGTAAAGAAGTCCCGTTAAAGTTATTTAATTGAAAACATTGACTTTTATTTTTAAAATTGGTAATTAATTACATCATTATTTTTTTCTTTTTCTCTTGGCAATAATTCTGAAGAAAAACACTGCTAAATGTTGGTTTTATAGTTGTTTAGATTGTTTATTAGTTAAATTTATAATGTTATATGTTTATGCCTGTCATAATGTTATTAATCTGTGGTTCAGAATGCGATGTAATTATAATTATTATTGATTCACCACTGTAAACTATTTCCTGGTTTGTTCAAAAACGACTGGTTTCCACAATTTGTATTCATATAATTAGAGTTAATGAATAGACGGCCTTACACATAAACGTCATAATAGAACAACTTTTTTCTTTTTTAAATGTCTATTTTGGTAGAAAACCTATAAAAAGAATTACCAATCTGTTTTTTTAAGGAATCACAAAATACGCGTTGTGTTTTTTTACACTCCCATAAACAATTTTATCCAGCAACGAATCTCAAACGGCTGAGATACAACAACAACACCGGTTAAACAATTCTGTCCACCTTATCAGAAAATAGGGAAGACAGTTTTCCATTAGGGTTTAGAAAGATATCAGATATCTGAAAGTGATCCGAGAAGAAGACGAATGGCACTATGACATGTGACCTACCCTCGAAGACGAGGTCAATAATTTAATCTGATCTACATCGATATCTCTATACAAATCAATTTGAAAGGCTATCCCAACATAATTAGTAAGGTGCTAAGGTGCTCTATAAACGTATTAAAAGAAGGAAAGCGAGAAAGAAAAAAGGAGAGAGTGTGTGTGTTCGAATGAAAGAGTTTTAAAATTTTTTATTATATGTACAGTTCAGAATTAAGCTGGAAAAACAGCACTTAGGCCAGTAATAAAACAACATTAATGTAGCAAATAAGGTTGCTGTATTTCATAGACTTTGAAATTTTATTTATGCTAATATTAAGTACTTGTTTACTTATTACTATATTATGGTTCGCTTAGTCTCGCTTTCCCTTAGAATTGTTTCGCTGCCAGCAATATTAAAAAGCATTTTAAAACTGAAAGATTTACATTCAAAACCTTTTATTTATGCTAATATTAAGTACTTGTTTACCTATAAGTTTATTATGGTCCATTACAATTGCTTCTCCATGACCTGCCATTATTATTTTTATATATCTTGCTAATTATTTATTTATCATGATTTACAAAAGTATGCATGTTAATGCAGGTGAAATATCGCTGCGACAAAAAAATTCATAAAAGCCCATAACAAATTAATAATACGTTCTTGGACGTGGAAGAAGCTGAAAACGTATAATATTCCGTGACAGAAGGATATAAACCCAGTTTAATAACTGTATTCTTCCCGTGTAATTTTCAATTTAAACAGAACAGTTGGGTCGAATCGTTGTGACTGGAATCGCCAGAAGTCACGTTAAAATTAACTGATTAGTAGCATTTATGTTCAAAATTATGATAATGTACCTATCATCGCCGGGTGTGGTAAATACGTAAAAACGTGCTATCCTGTCTACACTTGTCAAGTAAATTAAACATCTTTTTGTGGTAGTGATAATATTCGTTTACAAAATGGTATTTGGAATACAATACTGATGATTATTTAAGTCACATTTTCGCTTTTGGTTTATATCTCACTGCTCTCTCTCTACTTTATATTGGTTTTTGGTCAAAAAAGGCTCTAATTTGTTGATTGTTTTTTGTAGTTCCACGATGCTCTCTACTAGTAACCTTGTATAAAACAATCTTAAATACTACACCTCCTATAATTCAAGAAGGTAACAGGCAGTCTGTTTCAGTTTTAACCTGAAAAAATACGATTTTTATGTCGTACAGCCAAGACTTCCAGTCCAAACATTGATTTCATGACATTCAATATTTTAAAAGTGAAGCCTAAAATTCTTAAAAACCTAAGGCTGTGGATGCCAAAGTTGTTGGCAATGTTGGGACTGAGCCGGCCTTCAAAAAAATTTGAAACCTATTAAAACCTAATTACACCAATTATGTAGACATCCTGAAGATTGTTTTGCCCTTATTATGACATTAAAATAGGCCGAATGCTTGCATATAAAAATTGAATTTGTTTTTTCTACCAGACCATACCTAGATCCATATTATCCGTTAAAACAAGGCCTCGTAAAATAAAATAATAAAATGTTCATTTTAGGCATTATTGTGAAATTCATATCTTATACCATCACGAACTGGCACCTTTTTTTCTTTTAGCTATTTTAATACTAGTATTAGTTCGTTCGTAGATAAAGGTGCAACTTGAGATACATGGTTCAGCCAAATAATTTTTATTGATATTCGGATATAAATTGTGCAACGGCCAGTAACACAAGAATTCTTTTGCACGACTTAATTGTAGCAACTTTTTGTATTTGACGATGAGTTGTTTGTAAGAATACTAGAATACTGACAGTCAACTAATTTGAGTGATAGTTATTTGATTTTTTTCCTGGGTTTGGAAGTTAGTAACCCATCTTGGTGACGGTTAAAGATAGGTACCAAGGTTGTTTTGGATACTTGTGACGGTGAAGAACAAATCATCAATATGCGAGAGAGGTGTGTAGAAAGTGAAAAGCATAATCAGCAGTGGGTGAAAAAAATTGCTGTTTATTATAGGAGTCTCCAATATTTGGATAGAATGCTCTGTGAAATCTGTCAGCAACCCAAGAAAGTTTTCAGCACGAAAGCCGATTTGGAGTTGTAGTACATTAAGTTTTTGCATCATCATACATACAAAGACTTAAATATTGACATGGGGCTAATTAATTATTTGGATCTTTTCCTGCCTTTTAATGAGGACGATTAGCATGCATACAAGCGTTTGGAAAGTCAGCTAATCGGAGCATGGCATCACAGCAAAATATAATTAATAATAAACATTTTCACGAAACATTGTAAAGTTTGGACGTATTATGCTGTCTAATTGTTTTGACGAAAATTGTTAATTCCTCTTCATTATTTTATTTTCTAAATATTATATCTATACAAAATATATTGCATAAAATTAAACTTAATTAAAAAATGTAATTTTTGTTTAATTATTTAGTAGAAAAATATTCGAAGTTTAAAGAACTGTACTAACTTTCATGATAAAATAGAAATCTGTTTTTGAAATGATGGATAAAATTTGGCCAATTTATGTGTTTAATCGAAAAGAATTGTAATCTCCAACTAATTTAGAAAAATATAATATTTCTACTATTCGCAATTAGGATCCGTTTTATGTAACATAGCTGAAACACATAAAATAAAATACGTTACAAGCACGTTTTCGCAAAAATTGTATCAAAATTTTATAATTTATGTTATGGCATCATAGAATTGACATCATGATCAGTGTGCTCGGAATAACACCCATGAAAAATTAACTCCTACTTAAGTTTCAGCCTTCTGTGGTGTGAGAGAGCCTTCTCTTCGGAAGGAAGGACGCCAACTCTCGACTCAGTTTCCATTCGACTAAGGATCTGCTATGGGTATGCATCTGACGAAATATGTAAGTAGACTTTAACTCCTGAAATACAAACATATAAAACTGTTAATATCATTTTATTAATTACGTATTTATAACAGTTAAATTTCAAAATTGTGTGTAGAAATCTAAATAAAAAAATGTAAAAAGTACAATGATAATAATGTATTGGTTGATAATTCATAATTCTATTCATATAAGTTTAATCTTCTCAGACACAATAAATAAAACTAAATCATCTGTCATTATTACGATAAAAACAAAGTTGTTATTGTTATAACTATCTTGTTTATAAACATAGAGAGGAGTGAAAACATGTATAATTTCTTAATAGTTCGATTTTATCTGATAATTCTGGTCCGCTTGTTTTCGCTTTTTCTGACAGATCGTTTTGCAATTAACAACTACTATGTGTAAATATGAAAACCTATAAATACTACCATTTAACACCTACCCTACTTATAATTTACTTATAACTGTATCCTGGTCCGCTTGTTTTCGTTGTTTCCGTTAGAATCGTTTTGCCATTGCTCATTGCTTTCAGTAAATTTGGAAGTGTTTGAAACACTGAAAGAACTTCTCTTAAAAACCTTTTACTTATATTATTCTTAAATACTTTCATTTAAGTATATCCTGGTCCGTTTGTTCTCACTGATTTTAATTTTGGCCTGTAAATTAGAAAAATGCTGGACAACCGTAAGATCTTATGTTTTCAAACTTCATAGTTTGTCAGGTTAGCATTGTTTAATAGTTTGATTTAATTGTTGGTTCTGGCGTAACGTTGGTGCATTACGCGTCGCTTTTTTATTCAAGTCTGTCTTTGTGATCGTAGGTCCTTTTCCTTTTTAATTGTGTGGGGTTTTGATTGGTGTAATATATCGGCGTGTATGCCAGTTAATTATTGGTACGACAAAAATAAAACTTTTTTTTTAGATTTGTTTAGAAAAGTTGCTTTGGATGGAACATGTAATTTTATTATGTTTATTAGTTAGACAATAGGGTGATTGTTTCTGATAAATGGTACTGGTTCGCTTTTTTTTTGCTGTTTCCGTCTGAATCGTGCCATAACCAACTCTGTCTGTAAATAAAAAAAAAGTTGGAAAATAGAAAATCGTCCATGGAAATTTTTCTCACCTATATTAATAATACGTACTTGTGTACTTAGTTAGAATGGCTTAAATATGAGTAATTTTGAGTTGAGAAATAAATAAAATGCTTATCAACTGTAAGACTATCAAAACTTTGAAGAATACTTATTTCGTTTCCTTTGTGCCGCCATAACACATTTAATTTTTTTAGGATTTTAATTGTACCCTAGTTTAAAACTAGAATCAAAACAGAAAAACAAATACAAAAATCAAAGCAACTATTGATAACGCAAAACGCAAAAATTCTTTTATTCCTTAAAAACCGATAAGAATGTCGAAGAAAATCTAAACTTCGCACTATACTTGTGTCTTATTTTTTTACATAGCTCTGTCAGGATTTGGTTTCGTTTTTCAAGATAAAATTAAAACAACGATTGATACGATAAAAATAATATATTTTCTCTTCTAGAAACTCTACTCTAAGAGATATAGAAACAAGTTTATTTTTAGTAGTTTCGCAATAGTTGATTTCTGATAATACTGGTCCGCTTGTTTTCGCCGTTTCTATGAGAATCGTTGCGCCATGTTTGATTTCTCCCTGGGTGATCCACCCTTTAAAGTTTCCTTTTCTTTGTGTCGTTGACTCTGCTTTTGGTATAGTATATATAGAAAATAATAAATATAAACTCAATTATTGATAGCGATTTTTTTTAAGGGTCATACAATCGGATTTTGAACTCGGGAACCTTGCAGTGAAGAGTTGCCGATTCAACGCCTTAACCGTTGTGCCCGTCTGATTGCCTTTTATAATTCTGTTCCGTTCCTTTTCGCTGTTTTTTTTTTTCGAATAGCTGTATGCAGTGGTTTGAGTTCGCATGTTCTCGCTGCGCTTCGGTCAGAAAATCATCGGGAAGTTTAATTTCAGCTTGTAAATTAGAAAAAATATTGACGACATACCATTAAAAAAATTTCACACTCATGTAGTTTGAAATAGTAATTCAATAAAAGAAAAATGAAATAGTTATTCCAAAAATAGAATTTTTTTTTTTAACGAGGGTTCGCAACAGCAGAGGTCATATAAACCCTCAGGGTGCCGGTGTTTTTGAAAAAAAGCCCATTTGTAAGTATGTCGGGTTCGAATGCAGGGCCGCTGGATTCGAACCCGGGACCTTTACCTTACAGTGATGAGCGCCGTGTCAAAGACTAAACCTTGCGGCCACCGACGCCCCAGCAACTTTTATTCTTTCCGTAGAAAATAATTCTTACTAGTGATGTTAACATTTTTTGCATCTTTTTTCTCCTTCAATTTACATGTTATAGATGGAATTTGTTAAATATTGATTTTTCCTCAGTGTTTATCTTTTTGGTACGTTGTATGTTTGACAGGCAAGATATTTTCAAAGTTTGGGCAAATACTTGTTTATTCTGTGATAATGTTAAGATGAAATAATACGGCTAATAATAACAATCGATCAGATTTTTAAATATTTTTTATTATTGTTTTTATCCGGTTCAAACAACATTGCAAAAAGCTTTAAAGTGCTCTAGGAAATTAATTCACGAGATGCAATTTTGAAATATTGCACAACTGATCAAAAGAAAAAGGCCTCTAGTAAGATGCATAGAACGTAATACATTATACGACATAACGGTAATAGATAATGCGCAATGATGTTCGTTTTTTAAAATTCTTTTCTTGTGCAAGACGCGGATGACTAGGATGTTGCGGAACGCATTAATTTTTAAAAGTCGAAGTGCCTTGCCTTTCAATTTGCTGGTTATTGCTAATCTGGCACCATAGAAAAGAGCCAAAGATAGATTTCAAATAATACATTTCTATCGTTCAACCCAGTTCAGGCTAATTGGCGTCGGAACCCACCTGTATCGTTTTTATTAGCAGGATACGTGCTTTTTTCACTCTGAACTGTTTATGGTACGTTAGAAAGTGAATTGTTTAAGAGAAAATAGCATTTTTTTATAAATCTCTTAATATATGTTAGGAATGTTTTATTGGTTCAATCTCTCTATGCCTCTCTTTGTTGTATGTTTCTATCTCTATTCACTCTTCTCCTTTCCACTCATGAAACCAATTACTCATTCTATTTTTATGTCTCTCTTTTCACACTCCCAAAATTGAAAATATGTTTCAGCTAAATGTCAATAAAATTGTACTAAAGCCATCCGAATTAATAACCGTATTACAATGATTTTCTAAACATAAATATGAAACATTCATTATCTTTTTACATATTATATGATGCTCATGGTATAATTTATTTGTTTTATCATTTGTATTTATTATATGGCTATACTATTGTTATTTATTTATAACTAAAAAATTTTTTATATTTTACCCGTTTAAATTATAAAAACTTTTGGTGAATGGTAATCAATCCTTTTAGAGTTTGTGAGCATACATCATCAGTAGTTTGCATTGGTGGAGTCCATGTCCTTAAAGAGTCATGAATAACTAAGTCAAGGTTCTAACCCTCAGGTGCGGCCGAAAACATCGCTTTTAACAGTTCTTCATACTTGGCATATTTCTTGAGCCAGACTCCCAGGGTTTTAAAATAACACAACATAAATTTTATGATTTCATTATTTCACAAAACATCGAACACAAACAAATGCAAACACTCACGTTTTTGTATTTGATTGGATAAATTGGATTTTTTATTTCTACTTTCTGTTTTCCATTTGTATGGCTAATGGACTAAAAACGTTTTGTTGCACTATTATGGCAAACGTTCTAAAATTCCAACTAACAATCGAGCAATTTGAAGTTGCTTTCTTTGTGAAAAGACAAAACAAACGAGTTGTTAATAAATTAAATGGCTGTTCGTTGGATTCCCGTGAATCTTAAAATTAGAAATCAAGCAAATTACACATCAAGTCTTAATTAAATAACATTAAATTATTTTAATTATTTATTTAATTAAACTTTTTGAGATTTAGTCAACCGCATTAATTTTTTTAAATTATGATCTAGTTCTAGAGGATTTTTGTATCATTAGTTTAATATATAATTTTCATTATGGTTGTCTAACCTTTTTTTACAATAAATATTAATACATTTATTTTTTAAAACGGTCACTTACTAAATACACTTTACCCCACTCATTAGTGTCAAAGTTTATCTAGTTGAGTTCACCTCGTAACTTTTTACAGCTAATTGAATTAACTTTGACTTTTCAGTCGTCTTGCGGCTGACTAGGAATCAAGCGGCTGGCCTCGGTGTTCGGGTAGTTTTGAAGATGAAGAATTTGAAAAAAGTAAAGTTCAACAAAAATTTAAGACACATTAACCTTAAGAGATATTAATATGTAATAATAAGTTTTAACATTAACTTGGCCAGGTGTTAAATATCTATACCATGAACAAATTTTGAATTAATCGTCACGATTTTTTCAATTAACAACGTAAAGTAAATTCAGGTTTTTAGGAAAACTAAGGACAACTAATTGGAAGTTGTTAGAACTATTTACTTTCCAATCCAATGGAAATTTCCTATCATAAAACCCATTCCGAAACGTCAAAATCATCACTCTTATACCTACAACATATCACCCCACTAGTTTGTTGCTATAAGTAGCTCCACTATCATTCCTTCCCATCAATTCCGGTTCAGGCGACATCATTGTAAAGTCCAACAGTGATTCAATGATTTTCCAGCCGTGACACGAAGCAGCCACTACACCGAAGCAGAGTTTCTATTCCACAAGGGTTTGGTTCCATTCTATTTTTAGTATAGACTGTCGACATCTACAGCATCGGTAAAGATACCTTATTCCTCCTTCACAGAAGAAACCATCTTTTCAGCACATCCAGACCCAGTAGTGATTTTTCAGAAATCTTGAGAACCATTTATGTTGTTAGGAAAAATGGTTCAAGAAATGGAAAATCGTACTTAACGAAACAAAACAACTTTAACAAACA